AATATTGTGAAAAACAGGAAATCTCTTTACATCTCGTAGTTTTAAAGTTTCCAACAGGACAAGAGGGAGAATTGGAACATGCAGAACTAGCTTTTCAAGGCTAGCTTTTTTCATTGGGGAAAAGACAGTCAATATGGCATAGCATTGGACTATGACTCAGTGGATCAGGGTTTGAAGCCATGGAAACCCACTGGGTAACCTTGAGCAAGTCACAGTCTCTCGCCCTCAGGCAAACCCTCTATGAAACCTGATAAGAAAACCCTGTCAAGTTTGTCTTGGGGTACCTGTATGTTGAAAATGACTTGGAGGCCAATAACAATAAAACTGGATAAAGGCTTCCCTTGACATTAAGTCTAGTCGTGCCCTACTCTGGGGAATGGTGCTCATCTCCATTTCTTAGCCAAAGAGCTGGCAATGTCCGTAGACACCTCCAAGGTCATGTGGCTGGCATGACTGCATGGAGCACCATTACCTTCCCAACGGAGGGGTACCTATTGATATACTCACATTTGTATGTTTTCAAACTGCTAGGTTGGTAGATGCTGGGGCTAACAGCAGAAGCTCATCATGCTCCCCGGATTTGAACCACTGACCTTTTGGTCAGCAAGTTCAGCTCAGCAGTTTAACCCGGTGTGCTACCAGACACTCTTAAAACTGGAGATACTACATACATTTTTTTTGAAAAAATTAAAATCACCCAAAAAATTATACTTGAATTGGTAAGCAGTCGAATTCAACCCAGTTCCAATTTTTGCACCACTACTTGAGCTAAATGTATGTTAGAACTGGAATGTGCAACTCACAGGCCTGTCAAACACTGTTAAATACAGAGTAGACAATTTTAGGCCTAAAACAGAACTCATCATCAAGTTGAGCACTTGAGAATTTTATCCCACTTGAAAAGCGATAATACCTTATTTTCTATCTGCAATCTTCCACCTTGTGTGACTGTGGAGCAGAACACACAACTCTGCATCTGTATGCTTGTCCACAATGTTCTGCCCCATGTACAGAGGAAGAATTGTTTAAAGCTACAGACAATTCGGTCTCTGTTGCCCGTCTTTGGTCAAAAAATATTTAGCCACTTGTGCTCCTATTTTTATCAGTGTTATACTTATTTATGATACAAAATAAAAATCATTATTTTCATTTATAATTAGGGCCCGGTCTGTTTATGAATGCCCAAGGCAGCACACACAGCTGTCTCTATACCTCTTTAACATCAGAAGAAACCCTGTTAATTTGACTGAAGCCTACTGTATATTCCCACTTCCTATAGAGGTGAACTGGATACTTCTGGGAAGCCTGTAAGCAGGCCATTAAAGGAAACCAATAGCTCCCACTACTATTGATCCCAGAAATTGTTCCTCAGAGATCTACCAAAGGTTCTGTTTAATCATTATAGATAATCATGGAATGCCCTTCCTAGGGAGATCAGATCGGCTTCTTCGCTTTTAGCATTTTGGAAAATGCTCAAGACATGGCTATTTGAGCAAGCATTTGCAAATACTAAGTAATGGACATAAGAAACGGAGCAACTACACGATGGGACTGGAAAATGTTTTAATGAGTATTGAATTATGTTTTATTGTTGCTGTTATGATTTTATTGATGTTAGTGTTTTTATACTGTACTTGTGTTTTGTGGCATTGAATTTTGCCTTGTAAAATACAAATATAGTAAATAAATAAATAAACCACCACTGATAGATCTATCCTCCAAGACTTTTTCTTTCTTGTTGTGTGCCTTCAAGTCATGTCTGACTCACGGCAACCCTAACGTGAACCTATCATAGGTTTTTCTTGGTTGAATTCATTCAGAGGAAGTTTGTCCTTGTTTTCCTCTGAGGCGAAGCATGACTTGTTTACTCCCTCTTTCAAAGGAGTGATGTATTTCCACATTTTCTCACAACCATACTGCAAAGTCAGGCTAGGCTGAGAGATAATGCAAGGGCCAAAGCTCATCAGGAAAACAAATATTCTAATGACTATAAAGTGCCTCCATTGGAGAGTGAGTCTCCATATACCTATACAGTATTTCCCACAGAAAAGATGATACACCATGCTTTTTAGGCCAGTGACTGCCCCAAATGGTAAAGTAAACACAAACACACAAGCAAACTAGCAAAACGTATGACATCACTTTATAAATATTTTTTAAAAATCAGAATATATTTATTAATTCTTTAAGATCATCAATGTATTGTCGAAAGCTTTCATGGCTGGAATCACTGGGTTGTTGTGAGTCTTCCGGGCTATATGGCCATGTTCCAGAAGCATTCTCTCCTGTTGTGAAACCTGTTGGAAACTAGGAAAATGGGGGGTTATATATCTGTGGAATGTCCAGGGTGGGAGAAAGAACTCTTGTCTGTTTGAGGTAAGTGTGAATGTTTCAATAGGTCACCTTGATTAGCATTTCTCCCACTCTGGACATTCCACAGATATATAAACCCCATTTTCCTGGTTTCCAACAGACCTCACAACCTCTAAGGATGCCTGCCATAAATGCAGGTGAAATGTCAGGAGAGAATGCTTCTGGAATATGGCCATACAGCCTGGAAAACTCACAGCAACCCAATCATCAGGGCCATTTGCTACTTTAACAGTGTTCCTTCAAAGCTCACAGCACAGTCCTTGGAAAGGTTTCGTTGGGAATCAATCCATCACAACTGTGTCAAATGGAGCTCTGTTCTTAATGCAATTTGATGCCACTGAATGCTATGGAACCTGTAGTTTGGTGAACACACAAACACTCTTGGCCTGCGAAGGCTCAAGATATTGTAAGACCACAGCTCCCATGGTACCATAGCATTGAGTTATGGCAGTTAAAGTGGCATCTAACTGTGTTAATTCTGCAGTGGAGATGAACCGAATCTATCACAACTGTGTCAAAAGGAGCTCTCTCATCACACAAGAGAATTTATTTTATTTATTTCGTATCAAAAGCATTGCATAAATTAGTATAAAACTGATAAAAATAGAAGAAGCGCAGGCAGCTAAATATCTTTTGACCAAAAACAGGCAACAGCAATGGCATTGTCTGTAGCCTCCAACAAGTCTTCCTCTGTACATGAGGCTGGGCACAGTGGACAAGAATACAGATGTGGAGTTGTCTGTTCTGCTCCACAGTCACACAAAGTGTGGGATTCTTTTAGGTCAGGGGGTCCTCAAACTTTTTAAACWGAGGGCCAGGTCACAGTCCCTCAAACTGTTGGAAGGCCGGATTATAATTTGAAAAAAAAAAACAAAAAAATGAATGAATTCCTATGCACATACGTATCTTATTTGTAGTGCAAATAACACTTWAAAACAATACAATAATTAAAATGAAGAACAATTTTAACAAATAGAAACTTATTAGTATTTCAATGGGAAGTGTGGGCCTACTTTTGGCTGATAGGATAGGATTGTTGTTGTTGTGTGCTTTCAWGTCATTTCAGACTTAAGTTGACCCTGAGCGAGGGCRGGGTAAATAACCTTGGAGGGCCTTATTTGAGGACCCCTGTTTTAGGTAGTGCTTTTTAAACACAAGAGAATGAATCCACTTTAAATCCGTTTCTGCCTCCTGCAGAATTCTGGGGCTTGTAGTTTAGTGAGGCTGTTAAAGGTTCTTTCCTAAACTACAAACCCCAGAATTCTGCAGGAGGCAGCAACCGGATTTAAAGTGGATTCGTTCTCTAGTGTGATGAAGTATCGGCAGTTTGATGCCACTGGAAACTATGGAATCCTGGAACCTGTAGTCTGGTGAGGAACAAACACTCTTGGGAAGGCTCAAGATATTGTAAGACCACAGCCCCCATGGTCCCATGGCAGTTAAAGTGGTGTCAAACTGTGTTAATTCTGCAGTGTAGGTGCACCGAATCCATCACAACTGTGTCAAATGGCTCTGTGTTCTTAAGGTAGTTTGATGCCACTGATTGCCATGGAATCCTGGAACCTGTAGTCTGGAGAGGCCCAAACAGGGAAGGTTCAAGATATTGTAAGACCACAGCTTCCATGGTCCCACAGAATTGAGCCATGGCAGCTAAAGTGGTGTCAAACTGTGTAGATGCACCAAATCCATCACAACTGTGTCAAATGGAGCTCTGTTCTTATGACTTGTACTTCTTTACACTAGAGAAAAAATCCACTTCAAATTCAGTTTCTGCCTCCTACAGAATTCTGGGGTTTGTAGTTTAGTGAGGCTGTTAAAGGCTCCTCCCTAAACTACAAACCCCAGAATTCTGCAGGAGGCAGCAACTGGATTCAGAGTGGATTTATTCTCTAGTGTGATGAGATGAATGTAGTTTGATGCCACTAAATGCAATGGAATTCTGGAACCTGTAGTCTGGAGAGGCCCAAACAGGGAAGGTTCAAGATATCCTAAAATAGTAGTTTTCAACCTTCCTAATGCCGTGACCCCTTAATACAGTTCTTCATATTGTGGTGACCCCCAACCATAAAATTATTTTTGTTGCTACTTCATAACTGTAATTTTGCTACTGTTATAAATCGTCATGTAAATATCTGATATACAGGATATATTTTCATTCTCTGGACCAAATTTGGCACAAATACCCAATATGCCCAAATTTGAATACTGGTGGGGTTGGGGAGGACTTATTTTATCATTTGGGAGTTAAGTTGCTGGGATTTATAGTTCACCTACAATCAAAGAGCATTCTGAACCCACCAAGGATAGAATTTGGCCAAACTTCCCACACAGAACCCCCATGACCAACAGAAAATACTGTGTTTTCTGGTATTCTTTGGTGACATCTCTGACACCCCTTTGTGACCCCCCCCCCCGGGGTCCCGACCCCCAGGCTGAGAAACACTGTTGCAAGACCCCAGCTCCCATGGTCCCATAGCATTGAGCCATGGCAGTTAAACTGGGTTAATCCTGCAGTGTAGATGCGCCCTACAGCCCTGGTTCCCAAGAGTTCTGAACTTTAGGCCAAGACAACCAACCTGCTGGTGTGTGTGTGTGTGTGTGTGCCTATTTCCAGCCAAGCCACTTACTTGCGCCTTCGATTTTCTCCGAGCCCCTGCTCCAGATGACCTGCCGGGTCTCCAGCTTCACCTGGAAGGTCTTCCTCTCGGGCCTTTGGGACTTCTTGGAGTAGAAGAGCGTCATGACGGTGCCCACTTCCAGGCTCCGGTAGAGATGGACCACCTCGGCTTCGCTTTGGAGGCAGGGTCCGTTGGAGAAAAGCGACGCCATGGTGGCTCCCCAAAATCTCTTTCCCCACAAAGCCTGGGAGGAGGAGGAGGAGGACTTCAGGAAACAAAAGAAGAGGGATCCCGATTCTTTTTCTGACCCCCAAACTGGGAAACGGGGGGGGGGGGATACAAAAGGAGACAAAACCAGAGGAGGAAACTTGGGGGGAAAGGTGTGTGCGTAAAAATCAACCTCGCATCCACTCCAGCTTCAGCTTTCCTCCGTTTGGGAGTCAAGAGAGGTTTCTAAGAGTCTGGTTCCTCCAAAGGATGGTACCCCAATCCTCTCCCCCCCCCCCCAAAAAAAGGCCTTGATATTTCGGGGTCCTGTTGGGTCGTCTTAACCGCGATCGCTGGACGCTTCCTTTGGAAGCATCAACAACTTTCCCGTCCGGAAAGGCAGCCCAGCACCACCTCTGCGCCCTTGGAGATCATGCACCATTTTCTTTTCTTTCTTCGGTGTGTGTGTGTGTGTGTGTGTGTGTATTTTTCCCCTCCTCCTCCTCCTCCTCCTCCTTTCTCCCGAGCAGAGACTGAAGCGAAACCAACCAGCGAACGGAGGGGGAGAAAAGGAGGAGGGCGGGAAGAAGAGAAGAGAAAGGGGGAGAGAGAGAAGAGGAAGAGAAGAATGCCAAGGCGATCTTCCCGGCTTAAGGAAGGCTCTCTCTCTCTCTCTTTCTCTCTCTCGGGGCTGGGAGGCTGGGCTCCAGCTGGAGGGCGTTTGCAAACCCTTCGCCGCCTTTTCCCCCTCCTCCTGGCCCCGCTTGATGCCTGGCTCGCCTCCTTTCCTCCTCCTCTTCCTCCTCCTCTTCCTCCTCCTTTTTCCGCCTCCTCTTCTCGGCTGGAGGCAGAGCTCTCCCAATCGATCCGAGACAAGCCAATCAAGATCACCCCAGGGTTGATGTGTGTGTGTGAGGGGGGGGGGGGGGTATGCAATGGCTGGAAGAAGGGAAGAGAGTCTGGCAGGGAAAGCAGCCTCTCTCCCCTGCGAAGGAGACTGGGGAGGAGGCACCACTGCAAACCTCTGGCCAAGAATCCCAGTGGCTTTGCCTTTTTGGATTGAGAAGCTGCTCAAGGGGGAAAGGCTTGGAGAGAAAACGAAGGCAAAATCTGGAGAGGAGGGGAGTGAGGGCCCTTCCACACAGCCCTACATCTCAGAATATCAAGGAAGAAAATCCCACAAAATCTGTTTTGAACTGGGGACCCTTCTACACAGCCCTATAACCCAGAATATCAAGGCAGAAAACCCCACAATATTTTTTTGAACTGGGGACCCTTCTACACTATAACCCAGAATATCAAAGCAGAAAATGCCACAATATTTGTTTTGAACTGGGGACCCTTCTACACAGTCCTATAATCCAGAATATCAAAGCAGAAAATCCCACAATGTCTGCTTTGAACTGGGGACCCTTCCACACACCCATATAACCCAGAATATTGAGGCAGAAAATCCCACAATATCCGCTTTGAACTGGGTTATCTGAGTCAACACTCAGATAATGTGGGATTTCCTGCCTTGATATTCTGGGATATAGGGCTGTGTGGAAAGCCCAGAAAATCCCACAATATCTGCTTTGAACTGGGGACCCTTCCACATAGCCATATAGCCCAGAATATCAAGGCAGAATACCCCACAATATCTGCTTTGATCTGGGGACCCTTCCACACAGGAGGATCCAGACAGGCCTTTATCCCAGGAGAATACGTGTTTAAAACAATGCAGATTTTTTCCTGGGGCCTGTCCACACCCTCCCCCCCCCCCAGAAAGTGCATGCTTTCTGGAGTGGGTGTCCAGACGTTCTTCCGGGACTAGCCCGGGAGAATGTCTGGAGGTCCTCCCCCAAAGCCCCCAGACTCCTTTGAAAAATAATGCTACTTCATAACTGTAATTTTGCTACTGTTATGAATTGTAATATAAATATCTGATATGCAGGATGTATTTTCATTCACTGGACCTGATTTGGCACAAGTAGCCGATATGCCCATATTTGTTTATTGGTGGGGTTGGGGGGGGGGGTGTGATTTTTCATTTGGGAGTTGCAGTTGCAGGGATTTATAGTTCACCTACAATCAAAGAGCACTCTGAATTCCACCAATTCCAATGATGAACTTGAATCAAACTTGACACACAAAACCCCCATGACCAATAAAAATGCTGGAAGGGTTTGGTGGGCATTGACCTCGAGTTTTGGATTTGTAGTTCACCTACAGCCAGAGAGCACTGTGGAATCAAACAATGATAGGTAAAGGTAAAGGTTTTCCCCTGACATTAAGTCCAGTTGTCCGACTCTGGGGGTTGGTGCTCATCTCCATTTCTAAGCCAAAGAGCCGGCGTTGTCCGTAGACACCTCCAAGGTCATGTGGCCAGCATGACTGCATGGAGCGCCGTTACCTTCCCTGCTGGAGCGGTACCTATTGATCTACTCACATTTGCATGTTTTCGAACTGCTAGGTTGGCAGAAGCTAGGGCTGACAGCGGAAGCTCATGCCGCTCCCCGGAATCGAACCTGCGACCTTTTAGTCAACAAACTCAGCAACTCATTGGTTTAACCCACTGTGCCACCGGGGGCTCCCCAAACAATGATAGAAATAGAAAAAACAAAAACAGAAATACACAGGACCCAGTTGCTATCCGACAACCTGACACTGTGTCCAAAAATTTTGGGGTACACTAGACCTCTCTCTCCAGCTGAAATCTCTGAGAATCTCCCTCACTAAAGTGCCCTTGGTGACACAGCAGGTTATACCTCTGACCTGCTAAACTTGCTGACCAAAAGGTTGGCAGTTCAAATCCAGGGAGCAGGGTGAGCTCCCACTGTTAGCCCCAGCTTCTGCCAACCTAGCAGTTTGAACGTATGAAAATGTGAGCAGATCAATAGGTACCGCCCTGGTGGGAAGGTAACGGTGCTACATGCATCATACCGGCCACATGACCTAGGAGATATCTATGGACAACGCCGGCTTTTTGGCTTAGAAATGGAGATGAGCACCCCCCTCCCCCCAGAGTTGGATACAACTAGACTTAATGTCAAGGGGAAACCTTTCCCTTTACTTAAAGTGCAAATCTCAAGCTTTCTTAGGATGTTGCCATGACAGTTAAAGCAGAATCACAGAGCTGTGATTGTGTAGTGTGAATGAGCTCCATGTCTTGTATCATACTTTGTTGTTCCATTCTTTCCTGATGTCCATTTCAGCAAACATTAGCCATGCAGGAAAAAGGAAGCAGGAAAAGCAGGAGGTGTGGGATGGGAGAGAGAGGGGGAAGGCTTGACGTTATGATGATTGCTTGCCAGTTGAGAAGCTCGTGTCTCTATTTTTTTTAATGAAAATATTAATTCCAACCCTATGTCATGGAATCTTGAAACGCCAGACAGGTAAAGTCGATTTAAACAGTTTTAAACAATGCAAAATTGAAAGCATTTTTATTTTAAACAATACAACTTTTTAAAAAGGGGGAATTAACAGTCTGAAAACATATTGAGCAATTTAAGAATTAAAACATTGAAAAGGTGAAAACATTTACAAAAGCCAGTTAGTTGAAAGCTCTCTTTAATTGTTTTTTAAATTGTTTTTGAAGTATTTATATATACAGCGCTGCACTCAAGTCCTCATCTTTGCATGCTTGGAACACTAGCGATAGTGCAGATGTCTCATTTAATGTAGAATATACTGTACTAGCTGTCCCCTGCCACGCGTTGCTGTGGCCCAGTCTGTTGATCTGAAAAATAAAGTAATGAGAAAGTGTTGGTTTCTAATATATGTAATTTCTTTATGCTTGTGGGTAAACAGTATTTATTGCTGTTTCTTTGTCAGTGTTGATGTGGAGATTGCCTGGTTTGCCTACTCTGGAACATGCAACATATAATTGTCCTTCTTCATGGGTCCCTTTCAAATCTATGATACTATATCTGTGTGTGTGTGAATCATATCTATCTATATCTATGGCTGGATGGCTCTTTGTCAGGAGGGCTTTGATTACGTTTTCTTGCCCTGATGAAGGGAGTTGGATTGGATGGCCTTAAGTATTTTCTGTTGGTCACGGGGGTTCTGTGTGGGAAGTTTGCCCCGATTCTGTTGTTCGTGGGGTTCAGAATGCTCTTTGATTGTTTGTGAACTTTGAATCCCAGTGACTACAACTCCCAAATGTCAAAGTCTATTTCCCCCAAACTCCATCTGTGTTCATATTTGGGCGTATTGCGTGCTTGTGCCAAGTTTGGTCCAGATCCATCATTGTTTGAGTCCACAGTGCTCTCTGGATGTAGGTGAACTACAACTCCAAAACCCAAGGCCAATGCCCACCAAACCCTTCCAGTATTTGCTGTTGGTCATGCGAGTTCTGTGTTCCATGTTTCGTTCCATTCCATTGTTGATGGAGTTCAGAATGCTCTTTGATTGTAGATGAACTATAAATCCCAGCAACTACAACTCCCAAATGACAAAATCATAATTTTTGAGTGATGGTCGCTCCTTGGATTGTGAGACATTTTGTTGCCAAATTTGGTGTGATTTCGTTCATTGGTTCTTTTGTTTTTAAGGTACTCATTATGCACAGAGCATTTTTATAGATATAGATTGTTGTTAAAATATATACTGAGGATTAAATTGTGATTGTAGTTGAAATAGTCAGTTATAATTGCCCCCCTGTTGAACTCATGCATGTTGTGGTGAAAAATAATTTAGGCTCAAAATGATGTAATGAGAAGCTGTAGTGCTATAATGAAACCAACAAGTGGTGTGCCATAACACAGAAGGGCTTAGTATCAAGCACGAGTTGTAAAACTCAGGGAAAACCTGACCCTGTCATAAGGCAAAGTAAGAATGTAACTAAAGCCTAAGGCAAAGTATATGAAAAGATTTAGTAGATATTTTGCTGAGCAGGTGTCAAACGAATACCTACGTACACACATCCATACATTTTTTTAAAAAAATGATTTAGGGTAAGGGTGAGAAAAGTGCAGCTGTGGGGTCCCAAAGCTGTGTTTGTGGCTCTCAACTCTCTGGCCTACACCTTTCCTATCCAAAATCAGCGGGTTAAGGTAAATTACCACAGCATTCAAAAGTGACCATTCCATATTTCTAAAATAGGCTGTAAGATTCTCTGGAGCTGTTTATCATCTCAAATATCACCCATTTTCCAAACCTATATATCATGATATTTTATGGCAAGATAGCTGACTGGCACAACCTGGGGATCACAACCAAACACAGTGAAGACATCTGCCCTTGCAGAAATGTTACGGCCCAGCTACTTCCAGGTAAAAGATGTTCACCTGAGAATGTCACGCCAGGAGAGAGGCAAAATGTTCCTCAAAATAAGAATTCTCCTCCAGTGATTTTTTTCCCTACAATCTCCAAATTTCTAGCACTGCAAGCAGTGAGACATTGAACATGGTTCACACATAACACCTAAACATCTTCTGTTTACTATGCACATCCCTTTGGTGACTTTGCTTTTTCTTTGGATGCCTAAGGGCCCATCCAAAGGGCCCTTTATCCCAGGTGCTCCCGCAGGAATCAGGAGGGTGGCCAGATGCCAATCTCTGCAAACCTGTAAGTAATCGCAACAAAAGGCAAAAAACACAAGATTTCCAGGTGCTGGAGTATTGCGGTTTTTAACTGAATATCTGGATCTTGCATGTCTGTATGTCCCTGCAATCGGAAAACATGTGTATTGTCGAAGGCTTTCATGGCCGGAATCACTGGGTTGTTGTAGGTTTTTCGGGCTGTATGGCCATGTTCTAGAAGCATTCTCTCCTGACGTTTTGCCTGGATCTGTGCCAAGCATCCTCAGAGGTTGTGAGGTTTGT